TGTATATTGCCAGTCCAGCTCACCTCCCTCACACAGCCTCTCAACGCCTTCGGAATGTATTGTTTGCTGCATACTGTAGCCTCCTCGCGCCATTTTTGTGAGTTTTAGCTCAAAATAAATTATGCTTTCCTCACATCCTCACCCAGCTGCCTCAGAATTGTGTGGCAGACTTGGATTTTAATTAGTGCATTGTAATAAGAATATACGCCCATGTGTTATTTTTACTTACATTTTTGGGAATTTGGAATTCATCTTCATTGAAAACATTTACTTTTCGATAATGAAATTTTAAGGAATGCATCCTTTTCACGTAGTTGTATGTAAATATGCTTTGAAAAGGAAAGTGTACGTCTCTTAATCCTGGTAACAACTTGATAGTGACATCAACGGGCACATATGTATAATAATCTGGCATACTGGATGACTTGTATGTGAGGTTACTGATTGTAGTGTTGAAAGAAAATGATGCTGTGGTTAACTCTTTGACTATCACAGTTCAGTAGGCGTGAGTGTATTGTAAACCACTACTTTGTACTTATGACAGAAAATGTGCTCTGTCTTTAAAGAGCCCAACTCTCGGGAAATATTGAGTGAGCCAGATTTGCACAGTGTGCTCTCAATTCATCACAGTGCGTTTAGCAGGTTTAATATCCAATTTCTGTGCAATCCCAGCTCTTGCCTTTAGCTAAAGCCCTTGGTGAATTCTGCACTTTGTTTTCCACTGGAACAGCATAGGTGCAACAGTGTTTCAGCACCAGTTCCTCCATGAATAGAAAGAGGCTGCAGCACTTCATTTGGAAGAAGCATGATCCTGAAGCAAAGACCAAAAGCAGAAGGATCTAATTGGATTTCTGGTCTTGGTGCTGGGGCCTGAGCTGTGATCATCATGCTGTTGTCGTTATCAGCATGATGTGGGGATTTGAGGATCTGTGATGCGTCTTCAAGGTTATGGTAGCTGCTTAACCTCCTGCTGCTATTGCAGCAACAAGTGATTTTAAAGGCCCCTGTCCGTATGACCATACGTTTTTCCTCTGTCTCCTTAGGTCTTCTTCTGGAGGATCATTTGCGAACGGTTTCACTGTGTGCCTTTCTTCTTTCATTTCACAGAATGCAGGCTGTTTTCGTTGCATCTCAGCAGCTATGGGTCAGTGCTGTACATACACATATAATCATAAAGTTATTAAATGGAAATTGTTTGGAAAGATTCTGGAGCCCTATATTCTGGTTACCTTAGCCAAATCTCGTGCATGTTGTGACAAGTTATTTTTTTTTAAATAAGCCATTAGTTTTCACTGTGTAGGCAACTAGAACTCAGTAAAGGTTCTCCTTTGGAGTGCTTGCCCTGCAAAGTGTTTGTGAGGCACTTTGAGAATGAGATGATGAAAAGGCATTTCATAAATGCAAATGTCCTTCTCAATAGCCCTATGTGTAGGTTGTCTTTACTAGTTATCACAGTACAGTGCTGTAGCTTACGGTCATCTTTTACAAGCTAACAGCATTTTGCCAAGAGAAAACAATAGCAAGTTGTCTTGTAATGTAATGGTCAGTAAGAATTTCAAATGATTATTGTGCCCTGTTGAAGATGCCAGAATTGCTGTTTTACTTTGCTTACCCTCCTGGTCTGTGGGGGGTTCCTGTTTAACGATTTGCAGTGCCCTTTTAGGTGACGCACACAGTACCACTCTTCAAGTGTTGGCATTTTTAATCTGTGTATATGCTGGCTGAGTGCGACAATCACAGACCTTCAGTATTATGTGTAGGCTGAAACTGGGATTCTGGGATGCAAGGCTTATTCAGAGGGTAGGCGGTGAGGCTTTTTCACTCAGCCCAACTATACACGCGGATGGGCTGTTATTCAAAACAGCCGATTTAAATGAAAGATGACTCATGAGGTGACAGCAGCACTTCTGAACAATTCTCTTAACTTTCTAACAGCAATCTTTTTTTTTTCCCGAAGAGGTCTTCTCATAAACTAATCAGAAAGGAAAAATGTCTTTTTTTATGAATGAATATATTTAGCATTGTTGTGGGGATTACACCACACCAGCTAGGCATTTTATCCGTGATGGTTTGTCAGACACGATTTTGAGCAGATGGATAATTAAGCACATCCTTTCCAACAAGCACATTCTGCATAAAAAAAAAATGTATGAACCAAAGCAATGAACGAAATTTATGCAAGTCATTTATATTCACATATAAATAAAGACCATCCTTCAAGAATCATCCTCCAGAATGGGCCGCGGCAACCCTGGTTTACTTAATGTTAAAACTGCAGGTTTTTAACCCACTGTCAACCAGCAGCATAAACAGGTTGTAGCCTGAACTTGTCTGGTCACACCGCAAGCTTTATTTGCATCTCGTTGGTAATATTTGAGGTTTATCTTCCTGAATTAAATCTAACATTCTTCGGGCAGTCACTCCCAATTGTCTTGAAATAAAACACTGAATGCTCACACAACACATGCATATTTAACTTCCGCAAAACTCTGCCTTTGAGAGCGTTTCCGTGTTGCAGTCAGTGTGTTTGAATAAAACTGAACTTGATCTGAATATGAGTGGGTACTCTGTAGCACAGGTTGCATTCTGTGTGTGCCCGGCAAAAACCTTGAAACAAAATGCCTATTGCACATCGGTTGCAACAGATAAAGGACAGAACTAGGATAACCACAGCTAGTTGCAAAAGCAAAACGGATTAAACTGTCCAGTCTGAAGATTAATGAATGGTAGTCTGAAGTATTTCGGAGCGTATATTTAATGTTTTATAGTATTTTGTTTTACACGGGTGGCTCATGAACAGATTAGGTTTTGCTTCTCCATAAGCGTTTGCTTTGCAGTTTGCTGCAGTGCATAGCTTTTTATACGCTTGTAATTGCTGGTTAGGTTTGAAATTCTGTTTGGATGTGGGATTTGAATGGTCGGGCTTTCGTTCGGAATGCACACGTCATATCCAGAAGTCCTTCTTCAGACCAAAAAAAAAAAAGATTCACCTTTTATTTTCTTCTTGTTTTCGTGCAGCTGCAAACCAGCAGCGTGGCTAGAAAAACAAGCTGGAGAATAAGAAGGCCTCAGCAGCAGTTACTGCTGGAAAAACACTTTTACTGCCATAGTCCTTTCATTTGCTCCCGCAACATGTTTTTAAAGCTTAATAATAATATAACTGGATTTTCTATAGCAACTTTAAAAGTTGCTTCTCAAAGCTTTTTACAGTAAGAAAAACACCAACAAGGAGACAAAAAGAACAATAAAAAACAAGGGTTTTAAGTAGGCAATAGGCCAGGCACAGACAGCATTAGCATAAAAGCCTTGACTGCATTTGACTGATTTGACTGCACTCAGAGTGGGTGACTCTCTGAAGCCTTGAGGGTAGAAATCTGGAGCTTTGGGAGTCACTAGAGAAGGCCCTGTCACCCATAGTATGTTACCTCTGGTATAGTAAGTATATTCCAGCACATGTACTGTAGCCCATCTAACCTGTCCTACCTTCTTTTTCGCTAAGTTGCCTAATGTGCTTTGGAATTTAGTTTTTTTTTCGCTTTCAGGATATGGTTTGACAAGAACCATAGTAGAATTAAGACATTGTTGACGGTGTAGACACAGAAGTTTTTGTTGTATTGATAATTTGATATTTAACCTCTCAGTAGAAACCACCTTCTGTGTTCAAAGACTGCTTGTATCCCTTACCACTTCGTCAGTTTAAAATAAGACACTGTTTAATGTTTATTCCTGTGGTTTCTTAGAAATTAAGCCTTATCAAGCCACTCTGTTCATGTTTGTTCCATACCTTTGTCAAGATGATAATACATTTATTTCTCATATTATGGGTGAAAAAGCAATCCTGTTTTGTGCTCATGTTTGCTAATGATAATGTTTTTTGCCATCTAATGTCTGTTTTATAATAGTATACCTTGCAAACAGCATTAAATGTTTTGACAAAATGTTTATAGTATCAGAAATCAAAGCTGTGATTAAAACTTTTTAATCTGGGAAAAGGGTCTTGTGATTTGGATGTGTTTTCATCTTACCAAGTGTGCTATGCAACACTCTGTCCCTCTCTATACGCCGAATGTAATTTTGTGTTTATAGTTCATTGATCACTTGAGCTGTCGAGAGGATTGGCAGGATAAGATTAGGTTTTTGCCATGCCCTGATAACCCCATTCGTAAATCTATAACCTCTCAAATCGAGGTCAACTATTATTTAACCCTCCCGCAGTCAGGGCTTGAAAGGACGTTTCAAGTCAGGATGCGCGATCTCTTATTTACCAAAAGGATCATACCCATGGTTGAAGTACTTTTCAACCTAATTAACATCGAAACTGACATGGTATTACAGATCTGTCATTTAAGGAAGATGAAACGAAGAAACTGCACAGTGCTGTGCTAGTTGGGAATGGTGATTGAGTTTTATCATCTCGGCTGCCAGCTGACTGTTTATTAAGGAAAGAGGAGAGATCTGATGGCAGGATAAGGTGATTTTCACCTATCCAGATAAGATGCTGAGTGTCTGCATGTTTCTCTTCTGCCTCCAGTCAGATTAATATGGAGGAGAGCTATCAAGCTCACTGCAGGAGGCAATTCTGTTCCTCTGAATTTCTGGGACCTTTGAACTCTACCCAGGTGTTGAAATGAAATCCAATAACACAATTGAATTCCCAACCATGAGAATTGCTGTGGCACTTTCATTTCTGGATTGGAAAATCTCACGCAGCAGTAAATACAATACTGGATGTTTGTGAAGAGTAACATTCGATGTGGTTCTCGATGGTTTTCCAGAATGCCTTCTCAGGGGGGGGGGGGGCTTGAAGGTTGTTAAAAGTCGGTATGTCCTCAGCTTTGTGTGGCAACGTGTGGCGTTACTCGTTTCTGCTTCATCAGTCGTGCTGGGTGGGTGCGCGCAGCAGGAGCAGGACGGCGGGCGGCTCTGGCGGGGAGGGCTCCGAGTGACTGTGCGGCAGCTCCCTGTTTTAACAGGTGGACTTTGTTGTGTTTCGGCTGCAGGCGCAGATCGCTTTCCTGCAAGGCGAGAGGAAGGGCCAGGAGAACCTGAAGAAGGACCTCGTGCGGAGGATCAAGATGCTGGAATACGCGCTGAAGCAAGAGAGGTCGGGGGGGGCGAGTCCCTGTCTCTTCTTTATTTCTCTCTCGCTGGCGCAGAACGACGTGCCTGCCAGACAAGAGCAGCACTGCCGAACAAGCGCCGCGATCACTTTTTGTCTTGCATGTGCCCAGAGGCGGCATGCATGTCCGCTCTTATCCGTTTATTTCCCAGAATGTTTCATTTCAATATTTCCCTTTTTCCCCCCACCAGATCTTTTAGCCTAAGATCTGAAGTACTGAGCTCCTGAAGATGTCTTATGACGTGAAAGCCACAGCTTTGCTTTGGAAATCTCCTTCAGGTGGCGCTCTGTTGAAAACCCGACCTAGTTTCATGTAGTTTGACCAAAAATGGGAATTGCAACAGTATTACAGTGGCTTAACGAGCAGAGGTGCTCGCTTGGAGTGGGACTTCAAGCCTGGTTGGAGTCTGGGATATGTCCCCAGCCGATCTTTTGTCAGAGGACCGATGCGACTCATTGGGCTTGAATTGGCTTGAATCAGGCGGGGGAATCCTTGATTTGTTCCAAAGCAGCAGCAGCGGCCCTTCTGATGTGCAGGGTGGGGACTGTGTGGTGACACTGTTGTAAGTGAGAGCTGCATCACTTCTCCTATTGAAGCCAAATCTGCTGAGGGCATCGTGGGACTCGTAGTGTGGAAGAGAGCCAGACGGCTCTGACAGTGCACTTTTCAACCACCGATGATTCCCAGGAGCTGTGGTTTACAATTCTCAATTCCTGTCTTTTTTAAAATAAAAGAAAACCTCATCTCACTTTCTACAGCATGGTACTAGACATTAAAATGTTAAACCGAAAGCTGCTAACATTTTTAAAAGATAAAGCCAGGCAATCCCTTAATTTATAGAAACCCTTTTGTATTTTGCTTCCATGATAGAAATGATTCCCTTTACGTCTTTACTTCGTACTCCTGTCAGCTGTTTCTCTCCCACTCACTGAGTCACCCTCTCAGCGCTCAACCAAGTTTTTTTCTTTAAACCTGAGATCACTTCACTAAAGCTACACAGCAGCAGTGACAAATAAGCTGATTATGAAAATATGAAAGTAAAGCAACGCTCTTTACAACAGCATTTAGTTCCTCATATTAAGTGAATAGCATGGAGTGCAGGACAACATTTTAAGGGTTTAAATTTTGTCTGAGACTTTTTATTTCATCATCGGCTGAAATCAGTTCCTTTTCCTAGGCCTCTGCAGTTAGGATTTTTTTTTACATAGTCTGTACTTGTGGCTTTGCAGTGGGAGAGTGATAAAATAGGAATTATTCATCTGTATTCAAACAGGACAGTGGGAAGCTGATCTCTGAAACGACGTCAGAGATTAATGTACCAACATGGGTACAAGCTGCTGCAGGAAATATATACTTTGTCTTTAGACCAGAAAGTAGGAATGACAAGGTCACCCTTGTGTTTTCCTTGAAGCCATGGAATTAGTTTTCTTGTTACTAGTTTGCATCATAACGGAAGCTGTATATTAAAGCCCATGATCACTGGCATGGAGTTTAATGTTACACATCTTTCCAGTGTTTTGGATGACTGTTTTGGGAGAAAGTTACTGTTACATCATTTGGAACTCCTTGAAATATTACTCACCAGCAGTTGCACCGTGGTTGCTAGTATTTATGCAATAACAGTGTGTTATAGCCTTTCCTGCTTTTTTGTGTCATTCTGGAGTGGAGGACACATTAAGGAGGAGAGGGACTGTTACAAATGCAAGTATGCAGTTGTTTGCAGTAACCTATTGATTCTCCTTATAAAATGTTACATTCTAATTCAGTACCTTTTTGTTCTTCCGGAAACGTTTTTTTTTTTCCCTTTTACACATACTATTGAGAGGTCTCTGGTATTTGTCTCCCAAAGAAATGCAGATAATTTATGTTCAGAAGATGGTTTCACTCCTACTTAGGCAAATTTCAGCGCGTCAGCACAGAAAAATGTGCACTTGTGGTCAGCATGCTGTGGTTTGATCTGTCCCAGTGGTTTCTTGCACTGGAATTTTACAAACTCTGGAATGTTCAACAGACATGGCGTTGTTGGTTGTTTTTTTTTTGTGAGTTCTTTTAAAGTCTCCAAGACATTTGCTTTTTTCCCCCAAAAATGTCAGGTTACAGGAATTGGCGGATCAAAAGAATGGACAAAGAGTGTTCCTGACGGAAAGAAAACAGACCTCAAACTTTGTTTACCCCTGCTTACATCTCTGTGTTTTGCTCTTCAGTACAAGCATACAAAGTTAAAAATGTGACTTCTGTCCTTTACCATAGCATTATGGAGACTGGGACTGCTTGCCGTTTATTTTGGGCGACTCACTTTAATTCAGTGTCTGACTCCCACGCGGTGCTTGTGAATTAGTGTCCATGGCTCTAGTCTGTGAGGGAGCTGAGGCCTTTGAAGAGGGTTGAGTGTAAGACCACGTCTATGAACAGGGCTGTTCCCAGGCTGTGAACTGCTTCCCGAGGTCTTTATGTGCCTTTTCAGAATTTCTCCCTACCGAGGTGCCCACTCCGGCCTAGGAGAAGTTCACGAGAAACCGCAAACACTGGAAAACAGGAGCTGCCGTAGTCAGTTCCGGTTTACTGAAGTGTCCTCTAACTGCCAGGACGCTATGGAGAATTGTGCAAGGCCTATTCCCAAACTCATCTATCAGTCGGCTAGAAATACATACGACTCGCAGTTTGTGCCGTCGCAGCTTTATGCGGCTGGCTCAGAAAAATCAAAAATAGCGAAACAATGCTTTATTCTCTGAAAAATTTGTCAAACACGCTTATGAGTGATAGTGACCCTATACAGTTGTTTTATTTATGTTCATGTACTGTTTTTATACTTATTGTATTGCCGTTAGTGGTTAATAGGGTATTTTATAAGGGTTATAGGGTAAGAGTTGACCACACACGAATTTGGCTTCACGTGCCACTCAAAATCCCTAACCGCCGTGTAAGCTGCAAGTCGATTGTATATTTATTGTTTTGATGAAAGTCTTAACCTCTGTAAAAGAACACAGTCTATTTTGTGCCGGATGTTGTAAGCCCCTGTTTTTACAAACGTGTTCGGGATGCTCCAGTCAAGACTGGGCTGAGGAAAACCCCGTGTCGAAAAGCCGAGCTTTGAGTTACGAAGCGTCTCTGACTCAGTCCATGCCATCTGAGCTAGCGATCTGAAGAACGACACCTCTTTCTGTTCATTAGCAACACAGACACAGAACGAGATACAGGCTTCTTTCCTGGCCGGCAGGACTGAATGAGTGAGAATGAGGGTATACTGTCAGTTATTCAGTCCATGGCTACTGAATTTCATTGATCCAGGGCCATTGAGAAGAAACATGATTCAAGTTTAACTGCCTTTGCTGGTAGGAGTTACGAGGGGAACATTGATCAGGGAAGTAATGAAAGAGGGAACAAATAAATAGCCTTTAACATAGAAAGCAATTTATTGTGTGAAAGTGACCGTGCGCAGGACAAGTGCAAAATGATTGTGAACAGGCCTGGTATACTGGGCTTTGGGGAAATGAGCTCTGCACGTTTCCGCCATGACTGATGTGTTTGTAATTGCATTTTGAAACGTAGTAGGTTTAGCTAGCATCAAAAAACCATCTGGAGTGGGTATATTATGGGTGTGAAAGCAAGCCTGTGACACTATTCTAACACATGTTTAGGGCATTCAGTGACAGCAGCAAAAAGCCTTTAAAACTGTTACTGAATAGTAGTGGATTATCTCAAAAATTGATCAAAATCAGTTTTATGAGCTTTGGTTAACAAGTACAGTGGACATTCCATTGACAAGTTCACAGTTAGGTCATCGTAGGGGAAAAGAATTGCGTGAAATGAAGATACTAGGTACAGCCAAGACAATATATCCTGTCCTACACCAGTATTTGTTTCTAATTTTAACCATGAGCCATTTTTCCTTAGTGGCTATTCCGGTTCAGAGCTCTGATGCACTAAAATAACAGCACAGTGATCTGATGACCTAGTTCCTACATTTTTCTATAAGTTTGGATGTTCCCAATCTTTGCTCTGCACGTTTCTTTTTTTTCGGAGAGGGATCTAGGGGAGCTGTAGTTCACGTCTTTGGACCTAAGCATTCACTCGTGCAAAAATGTAGAAAGAGCGCATTTGGTAGCTGTATGATTTTAATAACGCCTGATGGGCGCCGATTTCTTCTGAAACTTTTCTGCCTCCCAGGAAACGTGAATATAGGGCAAGAAAGAAACACAGAAAAAAAGAAATACCGTGCCACAATGTCTTGCTAGTAGTTTTTTGGGGTTTCGGACCACAGGTCAAAGAACTGTAAAATGCACTCTGGAGATTATCATATTGCTGCGTACCCATTACTAGGACCTGCTATTAATCTGCAAAGGGGGGTTTATTTAATGAAGATAGGAAAAGAATGGTTCCACTTTTCCCCTCAGACTTCCTTATTGAAAGAGAGACTCCCCTGTGTATGGGTGGCAGAAACAGCCCTTTCTCTTTTAGTCCCAGTCCACTGTGGCCCAGTTGGAGTGAGAAACGACATTGCTTAACCTCTGGGATGTCTAACGATGGCTTTGGTTGCTTAGCAACTAGTCTAGTTTTTGAACGTCTTTAAAGAAATAGCACCTCAGCTGAATATTCCCAGTACTCAATTCTGAAAATAAAACTAATCGAAATACCCCTGAGTATCAATAGCCTTTTTAATAGTGGGATATATGTCACGAAATAATCCCTGGTGTCTTTAAGACCCCTATGAAATGCAGTGACTGTGTCTGTGAGTATGTTGTTAGCCAAACTGTGAAGTAATTGAAGTGTCTGTACAAATCTGCAAGAACAAATTGGTGAATCACGCTCTTTGAATCGGGATGTATGAAACAAATGTTTTTAAATTGCGCACCACACAAGTTTATGAAAATTTGATTTAGCGTTTGAAAACACTTTTATTACTGTTAGCTTTTATTTCATTTCTAACCAAAGCCCGCTGTTTAGTCTAGGTAGAACAAAAAGTCAAATTTCCTGGTATCAAGCTGAGTAGGGATTTTGTTCTTGTCTACACATTAAGGAACCTAGACGAAGAGATATTAATACTTTTTTTTGCTCAAATGTTTACTGGAACAGCAGTGTCTGTCTTCTTGTCATCATAGCTTGTTTATGTGATTCTAAATAAAATTTGTTGGGTGGTTTTTAAACGTGTGCCAGAAGGTTTTGTGAAATAACTGTGGCAGTCTCATGATGTATTGTTCTTTTTTCTTTCCTTCTTTTCTAGAGCAAAATACCATAAATTAAAGTATGGGACAGAGTTAAATCAAGGAGACATGAAACCCCCAAGCTATGACTCTGGTAAGATAGATATGCACATTTGCCTTTTAATTTATTATTTTATAGACTTGTTTTAATATTTTATGTAATGAATGAACTTTTTAACATTTTTGTAATATACAGTATATATAAAAGTTCAGGGCATATAGAGGTGACCTTCTGGTTTGCAGACTGTAACTAGATACCCGTTATATCTTAAGTCATATAAGATGCAAAACACTTTTAATGAAGTCTTTACATTCAAGTCATTTAAGACTGACATCTTTGTGTATCACTGCTTTGCTCACAAAGGCTCTGCTTTTTTCTCCTGTGGGACTTTTGTTTTCCACTAATGTTTGAATGTACAGTTTTTAATGCATCCTCCCATGTTTTCTCAAACAAGCTAGTACTGTGAGGCAGCACTGCCAGTATGGGTAGATGGGGGTGCAAGTCACAGGACAGCAGCAGAGGGAAGACGGGAAAAGGGGGGGGATTCATTTTTTATACCAGTTGGTGATAGATGTTGCTGACAGCTACTGTAATGTCAATGTAGTCTTTGGCCAGGTCTTTATCATAGGTCACTCTACCTGAGCACATTATTTCTGGTAGATATCTCCCTGGAAGTCACAACACCATTTTTATGTTTTGCTATCTTTAAAAGAAAAGTACACAAGCATTTGTGTCTCTGCTTCGTCCTGAATTAGTCACCTTAGGCCTTGGTTTCACTTAGCACACTGACTAGCAATATGATTCGTCTCTCAACTTTGATGCTGCCTTCATCGTGCTCATTTGTAATTCTAGCTTTGTTGGAAAGCAGGGCTGAATAATTCATGTATTTTAATATTCCTTGTCATCTGAATTGTTTTTCCTTGATCTGAGTTCACAGAAGCGCTAAGGTGCTTTTTCAGGCCTTCGGCTTTTATGATGGGAGAGCTGTCTAGTGTTGCACCTGTCACTAACTGAATTAGCAATGACCCAGTTCAGATAGTGTCATGTTAGTAGCTGCCTAATTTTTCCTTCCATATCCTTTCAATTCCAGTCTCTTCCCTACATTAATGAACTTATAATCTGTATAAAAGATGATAAGTGAATCCTTTTTTGCTTATTTTTGGACAAAGTGCATGGATTTTTAGTTGCACGCTAAATAAGGGGTTATCCTAATAGATCAGAATTGTACACTATGTATGAAAAATACTTTTTTCTTCTCTCTCACTGCTAATCTTGCAGTGTGCTCTTAATGACACAGTAGGAAAGGGGTTATCAGCTGACTCTTTGTTTTGTATGCAGCACCGTCACAAACAACTGGTAACTATTTAAAGAAACCAGGATGTGCAGTGGATGAGGCTTAAACACACTTGACGATTAAAACTGGGTCCTCGTTTTGAAGGTTAAAATTAATTGCGTCTCTATTACTAATCTTGAAGAAAGGGGAAAACTGAGCCCTTGATATGATGGACCTGTTGTATTTATTTACACAACCAGCCGCCTGTCTTGTAAAAACCTGCAGAACGCATGCAAATGGCAGCCTGTATATCGTCACTCATGTTAGGCATCGTCCAATCGGGTGTGTGTCTTTTGTGTCTTGCCAACAGCTATGAAAGCATTTCCATTACCTTTTTTGCCTGCACTGACAATGACAGTCAGTTTACAAAAGCCACCAAGCACAATAAAAGAAATACTATACCACCATACCACAACAAGGCATCCCAGCAAAATGTATATATACAGTAATGTATATTTAGACATTTTAGTCATAAATCAACATCAGCGAGCTTGTCTTCAGGCAGTAGTTGAGAGCAGCAATACTGAAATCTTACAAATCAAAACTAAATTTAATGCTCTAGGCAGTTACAGGAGCTACATTTGCTGTGATAGATCTTTTTCTTTACAGTATATTCCATTTTTTTTAGTTTGTTTCTTTGATATATTGTTATGTGTAATGCCTGGTAGTGAGTTAGCAGCATAAAATTAAAATAAAGCAATCAATTCTGATGGATGCTCAGAAATTTAGATTATTATTACTGAAAAATACCTGGAAGAGATTACTGCCAAAATTGGACTTTTTATGGAATGTTAGGGGAAAGAAACATTGTGTATGAATCTATCTGGGTGGCTACCTTTGATTGCTCTATTAAATATTTCTTGTTAATAGTTAATATGAATCATTAACTAGGATATTAGAGTCTTAAATAAATTATTGTTAAAGTCTTTCCTTTGGCTTTAGGAATATCTTTCATGATTTATAATGATTTAAAACGTGTTTTGCCTGTGTGAGCTATAAAACATTATAAAGTGGTGTTTTCTTAAAGCATAGCTGTAAAGTTGCATTTTTTCAAGGATCACTTTTGTCTACATTTGGGGGAAAAAAACGTTGTTATTGCTTGTCTGATAATGGCATGTAATCGTCACGCTGACAAAAACTTGTTTTGTGTCCTGCATTTTTAACTTGTGATGGTGTTAACACGAGGATTTCAAAAACAAAGCTTTAAAATTGTTTTAAAGGAGCGGCCATCATTATCGAAAAATGCAGTCACCGGACCTTTTTTTTGTCTTAAACCTGTCTCCTCCACGCTTTCAGATGAGGGAAATGAAAAGGACAATGAGGTCCAAGCCCCCTTGAACAACCAGATCTCCTGGAAACAGGGGCGACAGCTCCTACGACAGTAAGTACAGCACAGCACTTCTGTCTTGATTCTCCAATTTCTCCACCTCCTGTCCAGAACTGAGAAATGCACTGATTCATTTTGAAGGAAGAATCATGCTTTCGCAAACACAGGCTTCTGGTGCTAGTTTGTAATTCAGGGTAAAATATACCTCACCACGTGTGTGATCTGCTGTTGAATGCGAAACCTATCTCCACCTTCCTACACTACGAGGTTTAATCCTAATGCATTTTGTTTTGGGAAGTTCTGTTAGGTCCAGCATTTCAAAGCTCAATACCTCAAAAACAGAACTGTAAAACAATTAGCATATTCTGTAGTATGGTTAATATTTAACTTAGTTTTATATTGTATTTTTAATTGAGGGGAGAATAATGATTGGCTATAGTTATTAGTTTGATTTCTACTCTTGTGTCTTTTAAGACTGTCATTCCTGTGGCAGAAATGACAAGAGCTTGTGAGCCGAAGGCAGGAAAGAGAGAAAAACAGTGCCCCCCTCAGGAGCCTAGTAGGAGTTTTGTTATATAGAGCAGCACATCCTTATATAAATCAAGACGAAGGAGGTGAAGAAAAAACAGTTATGCAAGAAAAGATTAAAAATGTAATGTAACTATAATTCATTGTGTATTCAGAATTCATTAAGTTAGTGCCATATCAATTGACATTTATGGTTTCCTATTGTATTTTAATGTCTAAAGATGTTTTTATTGATATTTTATAGTTTTACTTATATTTATTATACTTATATTTATATTTTACACTGAAGCATGTGAATGCCCTCTCTTAAGCTTTCCAGCATGGAATTTGCTTTTGTAGGTCTGGGATTGCAGTTGTCTTTTTGACACAATGTGTTGAGAGACTGTTGTGCCAAAGTGGCTGAGCCTTTGAAGTGGATGTCCTGACAGCACTTCAAGGTGCTGCTCTTGGCATCTTCAGATCTTTTCTAGTCGTTGGCCAAAGCATGGTCAGATCAAGTTCTCAAGTAGTTTCTCACGGGGAATCAATTCGTTTATGGCTGGATTCTGTCAGTTTTGTGATTTGCAGTGGATTTCAAATAGTTTAAAAAATGAAATAGCGATGAAGGGGTTCATAGCAGATATCACTTTCCCTACTTCCTTATTCTTCAGATTACATTTGGGAATTTGAAGTATCGATTCAGTCTTTTTGGTGTGCCGGTTTATATATTTTTCCGCAAATACCTTTACAGCATCACTCTTGCAAGGCTCTGGAAGATGCTCCAGCATGAGCCACAATTCACATAGGCCCTCTTTATTTTTGAGCCTATGTGAGCAGGATGCCACCCTGCTTCATTGAGTCTCTGGACTTTCAGATCAATGGAAATCCATCACCTAATAAGGCCCAGCAGATCACCATGATTGGAAGCACAGCTATAGCTATAAATGCGTATCTGAATAATACTGACCCATATCCTATAACTTTTTAAGACAGTGAGGTGGAAAACCCTCTCTTTAACAGTTGCATGGATTGCAAGTTTTACGGTGAGCAAAGCAACTATACATTATACTTATTTTGTAAATAATTTGAATGTAGTTATCATCACCACCCTGACTGTGTACTGGACTAAGCTGGTATTGAAAATGGAAGATTATTATTATTACTGGCAGTTACTAAAAAAATGGATGGATGAATTGCAGTGGTTGTACCAAATCAATTATCATCGTTTTTCAAGAAACCCAAAGCTCTGCACAATAGCACATACATAATACACAGCAAAAGGACAAACTGGACAAAAAGCTGAGCAAGCTGACTCAGTGAAGCCAAGAGAGAAACTGGGTTATTCATTCAAAACGTTAATGAGCAGATAGACCTTTAAGGGAGTTTGGAAAGGGTCAGCAGCCTCAGAGTCTCAGGGACGTGGGCAGTGAGCTCCCCAGAATTGGTACCCCACACAAGGGGCTCTGACACCCATGTAGGGCCGAGGCAGAGTAAGAAGTCCTCGGATTAAAATCTGGCTTGTACTCTTTCTATTTAGAATGTAGTTAAAGCATCCAGTGCTTTATTTGTGAGCAGCAGGACATCTACAGTAGCTCCTTTCTAAACTTCACTCTTTGGAAATTGCAGTCCACGGAGGACAGAGCACTTTTAATTAGTACATAGTCCACAGAATCCTGGATAAACTGATGCATATTTAGTACCTTAGAGAAGATAGCCCAGTATATATGCCATTACAGTACTGGGGACCAGTGCAGTGGTTTTCATCCTAGTGCATATTTCTGTATATATCTCTCCAAGTCTGATGCACAAATGTTGTGGCGTGCTCTTGTCTTTTTTCCAGCTGGATTATTGTAGTGTATAAAAAGGGTTACAAACGAGAGGAAGCCATTCAGCCAGATCTGGCAGTGCAGTTTTCACTGGTGTATCCAAACATATTGTTAAGTTGCAATATGTTCAGCTGCTCAGACTTTTAACTCAAGCTAAAATGAGTATATGCCACCTCTTTTAGCTGCTTTGCATTGGCTCCTTGTGGCTTTCAGAATAATAACTGCTCCCCGAGTTCCCCTTCACCCTGTGTCTGTGCAGAGCTGAAAATCAGTGACTGGCCTCTTTGTCTTACATCCCTGCTGGCAGGCAGGGGGCAGTTCTGCCTCACTACCACAGCTGTCAGGGCGACGGACCATTGGAAAGCACTGCACACGTCAAAAGAGAGCTCTGAAGGTTTTCTAGCCATCTTCAGGGACAGACAGTGAAAGAGTTAATGATCCAGCAGGATGTGACCCACTTCTATGCTTCAAGTTATTTTTCATGATCTTATTTCCTTTTTTTAATGCACATCTCCTCCACGTAAAACTGGATAATTCGATGCCTCATTTTTTCTCCATATAATTAAATTTCTGCGATTATCCAAGTAGGGCAATCAAAGTGGGTTTTCAGTGGTTGCTGTCTTTAGTGAAATTTCCCTGACCTTATCCCTTGTTTCTTTGTGCATGGTCTTTGTTTTCTAATGCTATTTCAGCACCAAACAGAAAATTAACAAAGACCTTCTTTCCATCTTCCTCAGGGATTTTTACATAACCAGTTCTATGTTGGGCACTTTCTTAACAAGCTCTAAGCTGTACCTGTGACTTTTTGTAACATTTAACATTTTAAATTTGCAGTCACCCCTGGTACATGCTGTTCAGATCCAACTGCTTTGAAGGCAGCAAATACAAAAACATCACAAGCACAAAGCAAAACAATATATTGAAGATACCAAATACTTGTTGAAGCTGAATAAAATCTTTTTGTGTATTTTTTATTTCATAGTATTCAGACCACTATTGAATAAATATTAACATACTTTACAGTCCTGACAGTCACTCAGATTCTTAGGAGAATGGGTACAGAAATAAATTAAATTGGAAGCGTTAAACATGTTTTAGATAAATTCTATAGTTTTTATTTAGACCTAATTACTGCTGTTGAACATTTAATAGATTTTCTTTTTTATAAAAAGCAGGGAATTGGTTGAAGTAACCAAGGAAAGTATGTGAATGAAAGTTTTTTTCACAAGACAGTGGTTTTTGCAGAAGAAACACAGTGTTGGAGGAATGAATGGAGGATTGTGTGAGAGCATTCAGCCCCTCAGTGACTATAGAGACTGGTACAGCAAGAAACGACCCCCCCCCACCCCAGTTTTAAAAGCTGGTACAAGATGATATTTTATCAAGTGTCCACATAGGCAGCAAGCCGAGACATAACATTTGGAATAACACAGAGCTCAAAATTTTCATGTAATAGGAAGGTATGTAATGTCTTTTTGTAAAAATGCTGATTGTATTAAAAATGTAATGAAGGCAACGACTGCCAGGTGTACTATTTTGCCATTTTAGAAACCTGCCCGCAAGTAATTTAATTTTTAAAAAATTTTCTAATTTATTTCCACCAGAAGGCACTTTAATGTAACATCTAATCTGGGGAGTGCCCTCTGGGCAGAATAAGAGCTGTGATGTTCGTTTTTCTGGATTTCTCCTTTTAGTCATTGGGTTAGTTGATTGTAAAAACAGAAGATTGATTTAGAAAACTCCCAAGTAAATACAAATGCTAATGATTAGGTATCTTGTCTCTTCCAGCTAGACAGAAGCAAAATATGAAATACAACCTTTAACACATGTTTTTCCATGCTTTAACTATGTGACCACACAGGTAACTACTTCGGTGTTTTCAGTCTTTGCTTCTGTGCAGTGTTGTTGTGTAACGAATTTCTTGAATTTACTTGGAGGTGGCTTTAGAGTCTTGAATGGTCTATTCTGTCTGTCTATTTTCTGTCAGTTCTACTAGGAAGCAGTGAGGTTTAATTATGTACTGTATACTACTGGGCTTCTGACAGAAGCATTTCAGGTGCAATGTTATTCCATTATCAGTCTACTGTGAATTGATTTTGCAGCTTATAATTAAAGTCATTTGATGTTCTATGAATTGAAATGGGATGAGCTTTTCCCCATGAGTCACGTATCTGTGAATTAGCCAGAGCATCACAGATTTTTGAATAGTCATTTGGCAACTCTGATCTTATAAAGAGAGTTTGCTGCCTTCTTTCCCCATATAAACCTCTCAGCTGTATTACCAACAGCACCCAAAAGCAGGGTCAGTGTGTTTCTCTTCCCTCTGTCCACTGCTGGCCATCTAAGATTTCATAAAGCATTTCTTTATAAACTGCCTCTCCGCTACTTCATCTTATTCCATTAGATCCGCCAAGTGCAGTTGAAGACATTCACGTGATTGAAAGATATTCCCAATAACCTCACATTTCAGTGGGTCATCTTGCCCGTGGAATTCACTCTCAGTGAAAAAGAAGGCAACCTTACGTCGTTCTGATGGTCTTAATTCCACTCGAGCAGCGCTAATGGCCCTTTCTTCCTAGGTACCTGCAGGAGGTGGGCTACACAGACACCATTTTGGATGTGAAGTCTCAGAGGGTAAAAGCTTTGCTAGGCCTGGCCGGGGATGCAGGAGAGAAACCACCGGAGAAGAACCCAGAGCCCATGGTGAACGGTACTGAGCCCTCCTTGAAGGGCAGCATCATGACTGGGTAAGAACACCAGCGGACGCCCTGACACTCACGCTGCAGATGCATGTAGGCAACACCTCCCAGAGTGGATTTTGTCAAGGAATCGGTTTGTTCAGTAAAAGCATAGTCATCCATGCTCACTTTGCTGATGTCATTCAGATCATCTCAGGATCCGCAGGAATGAATACAGTTTCATAAAATGTGCGGTATTGATTCTTTGTGAAAGAAGTATATGGTGGCGGAACACAATTTTGTCTTTGCATCCCCATGTAGCTGAATCCTAAGAACAGCCTGCTGTAAAATCCACTGCAGAAATAGAAGTATTTTACTGATGCTACTTTTTTGGGGGCGAAAGTTGTCTGAAAATCTAGAGCCAAAACTATCAGACGCTTTAATCTACATTTGAGTTAATGAGAATTCTCTATGAGGTTTTAATTATCCTTTCATCAACATCAGTGAATGCAAACGTTGTACCCTTAATAGCATTTAATAGTATAAAAGGACTAAAATGGCATCATTCTGCACGAGAGCCTTTTATACAAATATTTACTCTAAAATGAAAATTGCCTGTAGCTTTCCAGAATAGGCATATTTTTCTTCTGTGCAGCGAAAAAGATTTTTTGAACAGTGAAATAACCTGGCTTAAATGGAACTGGTTTCTATTCACTTCTTCATAAGCTTTGAGAATATCCTGAGTGTCAAGTTTACTGTTTTTGAAACCTTCATTATCACGTAAGCAACAGTTGCTTAATGTATTGTTTGTGGCCCATGCTGATGACTAATAATGGTTTAATACACTGCGGCTAATGTCTAAAGAGCGTTTTATTTGCAAATTGTTTCTTTATGGCAGGTTTTGTTTTTCTTACTTGATTAGAAAATTCTGCACCAGCTCATAGTCACATTTTTCTAAAGATGACATTAGAAGAGAGGCCTTCACTTAGCTCAGTTTTTTCACAAATTTCCCCAATCCCAGAAAAACAGATCAGAATAAATTCTGTGACTTCCTCTGAACTGTATGGCACTTATGACCTTTAACCCTTACACCCTAACGCAGGAAGAAATGTCATTGTTGTGCCATTTGATTCTGATAACCTTTTCCCTTTATACAATAAAACCCTTAATGAATTGCTTTAAATGTCTGTATTTGTTCCTGACTGCTTTGCTGTGGGGAGTTATTGTGCATGTTCCCGTGCGTGAAGATCTGCCTGTTCTCCTTTCCTGATGGCTTTTACTCCTGTGCGATCAGGAAACCTGATTTGAGTGACTCAGCCTCAGTGTTGGAAGCCTTTAAATTCATTGAAAGTGCTGCTGCAGAGTTCAGTGACGAAGATGAAGATGATGACAGTGACGGGAAAGACAAGACAATTATCGATTCTTCGACGGTGAGTAACAGTACACTTCTAAAACCCAGAAAAGGGATCCATGTTCTTTTGCAGTCCTAAAAGACCTTTGCATTTCACCTTTACGATGCAGAGAGGCAAACTGTATGTCCTTCTTACATGTGGTGTTTTGTAAAGTACAAAGAAATGATACGGCATATAGGACGGGCCAAATTCTAAAGCATAAGCATGTTCCATTAGTTTATTTAGCAATAGATCATGTAAGTGACTACAGTTTGCAAATAAAAAAAGCATTTCTCTGAATGATACATTTAATTCGACAAGTTAATCTGATCTAGCAACATGAGCATATATTATAATTCTTTGTACAAAGCATAGTTTAAGTTGAAGCCAGTCCCATGACAATTCAAAAATTGGGGCTAATCTTTTTTTTAACACATTACTGTAAGCTGCCAATGTGTTTCTACTGTATGTAGTTAGTAAATAAAATCAATTTGTCATCTAGGAAATAAAGATTTCCTCTCATGCAGTGCAGATTTTCTCAGATTTTTGCATGAAGTAGAAAAAAATAGTTGCTAAGAAACCTGGAATGTTATGGTAGCACTGAGGAGCTTGCCTTTGCTGACTGTTTTGTGTCTCTGTGCGAAGATGCATCGTGGCTTCAGGGAGCCATTTTAAAATGTTGATTTTAAACAGAATTATTGACCGGCCCTGTGGGGATTGACTTTTTCTTCGGCCTCCTTTGCAATAAGAGTGTGTTTTGTTCACAGCAGTTGGCATTGAGGCCACTTCTAGCCAGCTCTGAGGTGTCTTGTTCAACTGTGAAAGGCTGGCTTCACACAGTCTTGCAGCAGGAAGCTCATAACTGCTTTACAGCAGTTTGTTTGTTAATGTTAAACAAAATTTCACTGTCACATCTGTGGCATTTCAGGTATGTTTTACAGTAATCCACCTCCATACTTCCTTAAGGTCTGCTGCAGTCACATTTATGCTCTCTTCATGGAACACTTTAACTTGAATGGAACGTTTAACCTGAAGTATAATCAAGTAGGGACGCCTACGTAGTGTCTGGAATATTCCTTACGTGTGCAAGTATAGGTGTCTTTGAGCCCCATGTGCCTTGTCTGTAAAATACCTGCCTGTAAACTCAATGTGTGTAACTGTTAGAAAATGTGGAACGTATAGAGCTTTGCTTACTGTGCAGTGCACAGTTCTGTAGGGAAACTGAAAGACGTGTCACTGAACTTGAAACTAAATCTCTGACTTTTGGTGATTTTTTGGTGGCCGTGATTTTCTATCGCTGTTATGGAATGCCCTACCTCTGAGTCTTCAAGAGGCAAATTCTTTGACTCTCTTCAAATCTAAAAACTCATCTTTTTACTAGAGTCTATGTCTGATTGCCCTACATTTAGTTCTGTCTGTTTTTGTTTAATTTTTTCATTCTGCTTTTAATTGTACTTTGTTTCTTCTTTATCACTATGTCCAGTGTCCTTGGGTTTGGAAAGTCACTTTAATAATAATAATAATAATAATAATAATAATAATAATAACACTATCACGTTTAAAAACCAGATTGTAAGGAAGAAGGTATCGGCCTCCCCATCGTCCTCCTCTGACATCAGTGATGACCTGGACACAGAGGAGGCCCTGAAGGGCTTCGACTTCCTGGGGGGCTCTGATGACGTGGACAACTCTGTGGAGTCCAGGAGCGCGGGAGACGGCACCGACTGGGGTAAGAAAGGCCCAGCCGTCCTGTCCCGTACTGTCGCCCACACCCTCCATGCGCTTCAGATCTGCTTCCCGAGTGCGAAACTAAAAAACATAGACAACACATACTTGCCACTCGCTGTAGCATTCTTATGGTTACCAGAATGAGTGTTGAATAAAGCAATGAATGACAAAAAGAAATACAATAGATGAGAAAGACAGTTCATCAAAAGTATATATCCTCTTGTTGTTAATGCCAATAGCATCAAGATTGTATCAAAAGATGAAAGACTTCCCAGTAACAGCTTTCTCGCCATAATAAAATCAACTTGTGTTTAACCTGTTTTAATACTGCAAACCTTGAGAATGCACAGAAGATTTAAACAGTATAGTTTATCAATTGGTTAAATGGTAATAGAACCAGTAGTTAATTTAGTGGAGCCTCAGTACCGTAATCTCATTTTACTTAATGGTCACTTAATTGTGAAGTATTACAAGGTTACAGACAGGCAGAAATTGAATTATGTTAAAAGACTTAAAACAGCTTTCATATCTCGCAGCCAGTTTACTTTTTATCTTCTTAACACGAGCCATTAAGCATCTGGCATCAAGCAGATTAGCCATAAATCTCTTTTTTAAACAGAAAAAAACAAGCTCGTGTTTAGATTCTTTGTGTTCAGGCCTACTTTGTTGGACTTTCGGCATCCTGACACAGTGCAGAGGTAGAGAGCACTTATTAATGAATCATCATCTACAATGTGCAAGACAACTTAAATATTGTAGTGCTTCATTACCTCCGTTGCGTGAGTAGTTGTTAATGGAGGTGTTCTCCCAGCATTTCGATTTCTGACCCATTCGCCAAGAAACCACCTGCTCCTAGCACAAATGTGGCAATGTGTTTTTCCTGTGAATTCCATTTGTAGTAAAAATAACAGTGAAACAGCATTGAATGCTTTAAAAAGCAACAAAACATTATTTCTTACTAACCTTTTATATTATTCTTACATATTACTCTATACTGATATATTACATTTATTATACTTTAAGGACAATAAACCACAACAAACAGTCATTTAATTTTTTTGAACCTAGTATTTCTCACTCATCATTTGGTTGTTCAGCATTTTGTGGTAAGCTAGATAACACCGTCATTCATGTACGGAACCCAACACGATAAAAGAAAATATGCTCAAAGGTATATAGTAGTAGTAGTGTCTATGTTTAGGGCAATTTTTTTTACCTTTTTATGGCCTGTCTTTTCGTTTAATGCTTTCACACTTTTCATTTACAGTACTGCTGCAAGTTAAGAAATTCTTCCTCAGAATTTTTTGGTTCCATGATGTGGTGAATTTGCAGCACTTCTGTCAAATCCATTTTTGTTTTTGATATACAGTATGTTTTGTTCGTGTGCCTGCAGTTGTCTGTTTCATGCCTTGTCCCACATTAACCAGCGCAGCTGCCTGCGACATAAACCTTCTGTCCCATCCTCGTGCTGGTGTCTGAAGAGAATGAAATCGATTTTCTTCTTGCTTGTACATGTCAGCGCTGTCCTCGTAGCTCAATCTGGCCTCAGTCTGGCCGCGGCCTCACGCGCTTCTGCCAGGGGAGTGCCATTCGTCTTTCAGATCGGCGGGCAGGCTACGGTTGGCTCTCCCGTGGCGCTGTCACGTGTGTGTGTCCGAGCCTGGTCTCGCCCCCCGCATCCAGAGCCTTGGGAACTGAACAGGATGCCTTTGATTTGTCTCCCTGTTTAGAGAAGGACGAGCAGTGTCCCATGCCAGAAGCCTGGGATGTGGACCAGGGCTTGATAACCAAACTCAAGGAGCAGTACAAAAAGGAACGCAAGGGGAAAAAGGGGGTGAAGAGTAAGTCCACCAGGGCGGCGCCGCCTCCCTGTCCTCAGACAGACCAATTGAAAAGAAGCATTCTCTCCCTCCGTCCCATTTATTCTTCAGCTGCTCCTTCCGGCAGCTCTCTCACTCTCCACAGCTCGGCTTCCACAGTTCTGTTTTTGTGTTTCTTTACCATTGGTCTTCCGTTGTCACCGTTTAACGGTCCCTAGCGTTTCTCTGCTGTCATATGTTTATTTCTGTTCCTCGTCTTGGTCTCCTTTGCAAATCTATTTCTCACGGTCGTCAGTGTCAGAACCTACTTGCCTTGACACCAGGCAGTGTTCTGGCCATGTCTCTCCGCCTTGTGATTTCTTTTTAATTTGGTTTGGTTGTATATATATTATTATTATTATTATGATTAATCATTCTGAAATCTCTCCACATGGACACAAACTTTTACAAGGCAATATAGGAAATTGCCAATAATGCAAATGCAAATATTTTTCCAAGAACTGATTACTTGAATAGATTGCTTGCCAGTAAATGTTTGCTCACATTCTGGCACGACAGCACTTCACCAGATCCACCCTACTGTGATGGGGGAATTTAATGATATCATGCCTGATACATTGCTCTCTTTTGTATGAGGGCTTGTTTCTCATAATTTTTTATAACGTCCCATATGGAGTTTTGCAGCATGCGCATACATTTTCAAACATCCTGTCCTTTATGTCTGAGAGTATTCTTAGTCTGCAGTATAATCCTTTGCATTTGTCTACCAAGGGCTTTTTTTCCACCCATTATTTCTTTCCCTCCTGTCCGCTTTCAGGGCGTCTGCATCTTAATGCCTTTTCTTGCTCTTCAAATTATTATTTTTTCTCAGTTCAGTTTCTCTCTCCCCTCCCCCCACATTTCCAGCTGGGCCCAAAGCATTGTGGGTTGAAAAGAGCAGGAGGCGGAGTTCCCATCTGCATCCGTAGTCTTAGCAGTGGCTGTGTGGCCCTGCCCTGGCCAGTCAGCCCAGTCCGGGAAGGGGATGAGCACAGGGTATTGTCAGCCTCTGTGCTCACGCCTCAGCCTGGGTTTCTGTCGCCTGCGTCTCGCTTTCCATGCTGAATTGGATGGTGTATCTCCAGCTGCCAGCCCTTCTGATCTGTTGCTTTCCTTTCTGTTCTCATTCACTTTTTTTTTTTCACTTTCCTTTGCTCTGTGGTCCCCCTGGTAGCCCTCGGGTTGTCGCTGTCTTTTTGAAGTTCTAGAACGACGGTCACCCCTTGTCTCAGCGTGGTTAGCGAAAGATTCCCCTGTCCTTCCGCAGGACCCAACCGATCGAAACTGCAGGACATGCTGGCAAATTTGCGAGATGTGGAAGATTTGCCCCCCATGCAGCCTTCCGTGACCCCTCCCGCGCGACCCAGCATCCCCCGGCTCAATGAGCACGAACCCAACCACGCCGACGAGGGTAACCCTCCCGTTTCTTCCTTTCTCGCAGGCGGGATTGTGGGATCAAAAATAAAAGCGGAGCTCGAGCAGAACTCCCGTATGTCCTTTGTCTCATGTGGAATGAGCAGCATTGGAATGGCATTGGCGGCTGCAGACTGAAGCACTTTACTTCATCACCTAAATAAAAACAGATATCCACAGAATCCAGCCAGCGCCTGTAATATCTGAGAGAAGAGAGTCTCTTCTTTTGGAACAAGCTGTTATTTTGTTCCACAGTTGACATCAGCATGAATTTAAGCAATCTGATGTCAACAATATGTGGAGTATTAGTTTTGTTGTGTAATCATGCAAGGGGTTTTATGGGTCTGTGGAGAACAGTTCATGGATTTTTAGAGCAAGTCAATATCGGGGCATTCGTTTGGGTTCAAAATCTGTCCAACCGTCAATGGGCTGTTGTGTTGTTTTCCGGGTTTTATTTTTTCCTTCTTTTCCAGTGGAAGCGATGACGTTTCCCCCCACATCAGGGAAGTCTTTCATCATGGGCGCTGACGAGGCCATGGAGAGCGAATTGGGCCTGGGGGAATTGGCGGGCCTTACAGTCGCCAATGAGGCCGAGTCTCTGACGTACGATGTAAGTTGCTCAGGTGGGGGGCTGGGGGTGCTGTGTGTCTCAACAAGTGGTTGTGGCTTGAATCCAAAGCGCTGCGATCTTCAGCTTTATGCAAACAGTTGTGTACTTCAAATATAAGACAAAGTATCCACTTCAAAGAAGCAATGCTGCAACAGAGCATATACTGTAAATGCCATGGTACTTGTTTTAGAAACCAAATGAACAGTTGTAGATTCTGTACCTATCCTCTCTTGAGCCTCGGCTCCCTGGGGAGAATGAGGAGGTACAGACAGTCTCCTCTGTGAACTTCATACCCCTCATGGTGGTTATTGTTTAAACACAAATTCTGCAGCAGCTCACAGGAGGTTTAGAGCTAGAGAAGAGGAACATTCCTCACTGGTGTTGTTTCAAGCCTGCAGACCCAATTCCAGTGGTTGCAGAGATCTGGCCAGCTTATCTGAGCCCTGCCTCTGTTGGTACTAAGCCAGTTTTGCCCCCGACACTTACCGGCCACACTTGGCTTGTTATCTTATGATTTACTTTTTTTAGAATTTCATTCTGCCCATGCTGGCGTCTGGAAAAAAACTCCTCCTTTTGCCATTCCTCACCAATTTTTTTTTAAATGTGTGATTTAAAAATAAAACCACAAACCTGCGGCCAACCAAAAAGACAAGGAAACAACCTGCCAAGAATAGTCTTCCTACTTTGTGATTGTGTAGCTTTGTCACTCTAGTTCCTCTGGCAGTGCCAGTTGGAATCCTTAAGTAAAACAGTGCTTCAATCCCTAACTCTCTCTCTTCTGGAAGATATTGTGTCTGTCTGCCACACAGTCTATATTGAATTCCTATTAAAGCAATAATGAAATCATCTTTTGTGATTCATCATTTGACTGGCCCTGACAACCTGCTGCTGACTTTATTGGTTAACTTTAATCTCTTTATTATTTTAAAAAACAAGCAAAGGAAAATAGCCAATAATCCTGATATTTCTATTAAACTCACACAAAGCATTGTTGCACTGTCGATAGCATCTAATTTGTAGTTATTGTAGCTTTATGTTCCTTCTTATTTCACTCCAATGACCTCTTTCTTTAAAACTTTAAGGGTAAGGAACAGAAAACAATGCCTTATTTATGTCAGAGATCTCAGTTTTTAATTCTGGGGTTTGCATTGTGCTCTGAATTGCACTGCCTGGTTCTTCAGACCCAGCATTAAGAAACCCAGTCTGAATGTTGGTATAGAATGCAAAAAGCTTTGTCGTTTTTTTAATGAATTGAACTCTGTATCCAGTAAACCATTGCATCAGTGTCCCTAGAACAATGGTAGGCAGCCTTGGTGCTTGAGGATTGTAGAAATGTCTGGTTTTAATTCCATCTGTGCTCTCAGGTACTTCATTGAACCTATCAGTTTGTGAAACTGAACTGTTAGAACTGTTTCCAGCCATGTAGCACGTGGAGCTTTTTAATAATAATAATAATAATTGCTTACACTTATATAGCGCTTTTCTGGACACTACAGTCAAAGTGCTTACAGGTGATGGGGATCCCCTGCACCACCACCAATGTGCAGCCCCACCTGGATGATGCGACAGCAGCCATAGTGCACCACTACGCTCCCCACACATCAGCTCTTAGTGGGGAGGAGAACAGAGTGATGAAGCCAGTTCAGAGATGGGGATTATTAGGAGACCATGATTGGTAAAGGCCTAGGTTAAATTTGGCCAAGACACCAGGGTTAACAACCCTTCTCTTTTCAAGAAACACCCTGGGATTTTTAATGACCACAGAGAGAGCTTTACAAAGCCTTAGAAATGCCACAGGACTGGCGTTTCTCCCACCTGCCCCGGGACCAAATGTCCTGCTCTCGCCCGCGTCTGTTGCATGGAAAATGCTGAAACGGAACCTGCAGGCCGAACCAACCAAGCTCTCCGCCTTCTTTCCAGATCACCAACAACAAGGACGCGCTGAGGAAGACGTGGAACCCCAAGTTCACGTTGCGGAGCCACTTTGACGGGATCCGGGGGCTTGCTTTCCACCCCGTGGAGCCCGTGTTGGTCACGGCATCGGAGGACCACACCCTCAAAATGTGGAACCTGCAGAAAACCGCCCCTGCAAAAAAGTAAAATACTCCCTCCGCTTTCAAAAAAAGACATTATCGGACATAGCAGTTTGTGTAACGCTTCTGCAGAAAAACAAACTGCTTGCTTCGAGGCAACTCGAAAGTGTCGTCTACATGAATTTGTGCAGATGCTTAAAGCTAACATGAATCCTTTATGGTTTCACAGGCTTGAGAAGAACATTGATTGTAAAACACAAGTAACCATGTAATTTGCTTCTGCTTGTTGTTCTTCTGATGATGTGTTGAACAAAAGTGTTAAATTAATAGAAATGTAGGTTTAAGAGCACTGGAAACTTATTTGTTTATAATATGCATCTGCTGATGGTTCATTTAAGTGTTCTCAGATCAGATCACTTTATTCCTTAGTATATTTTTGCTTTGTATCTGATACCCTGGTTTTAGGCTCCATGTGTAACCTTAAAACTGGTTGTTTCCCTCTCTACAGGAGTGCCTCCCTAGATGTGGAGCCTATTTATACATTCAGGGCTCACAGGTAGGTCATTAAAAAGAATTAAACTTAGTAATGATGAACATACTTAATGATGAACTTAGAAGCTGTGTAGATCAGTACCGGTGTGGTCCATAGTGCTAAATATTCTTGTTTGATCACTGATTGACCACTAGTTCAACAACGGTTTCTTCATGTTGTCTTTTCCTGTATTTCCTGACCTTTGGCAGGGGTTCAGTGCTGTGTGTGGTTATGAGCACCAGTGGAGAGCAGTGTTTTAGTGGTGGGATTGATGGGACAATTCAGAGCTGGAATACTCCAAACCCTAACATTGATCCCTACGACTCATACGGTACGTATTGCTCTTCACATTGACTGCTAAGACAGTCAAGAAGGGAAGATCCTACAGTATGTGCTCTCTGGTGGTGATGTGCCCTGTAGGCACATTTTTCAGGAGCAAGACCTACAGGTCCTCCACAGAGTCGGCACTGTCCTCGCTGATGTTCAGGTGTTGATGTGGGAGGGACCCTGTGGGCGGCGGTGTGTGCGTGCGTCACTGTGGCGGTTTGTTCTCGGCAGAGCCGTCGGTGCTGCGGGGAGCACTGTGTGGCCACACAGACGCGGTGTGGGGGCTGGTGTACAGCGCTGCTCACCAGCGCCTCCTCTCCTGCTCCGCTGACGGCACCATCAGGCTCTGGAATGCTGCCGACACCTCGCCAGCTCTTTCCATCTTCAACGAGAACAGAGGTACCAGCCCGGCGTGAGATAAGATCAACTTTATCGTCCCCCCGGAAAAAACGTTACGGGCGTATTCTGTGCATCTGAATACATCACAGAACATTACAGATCCCATCTATTGCACATGCATGACTCGTTACCCATATGTATTACCCATACATAGCTTCTTACAGCATAGATGATTTACATTGACCCAACTGCATTTACCCTTGGCATTTATTAAATCAGTATTAACAGAAAAGGGAACAATGTATTGTTTATATCTATTTGATCTACATGCAGATTTGATCTACCTTTTTTATCTGCTTGATTTCAACCGAGGCCTGACATACTTGAGGAAAAAGTTATTTTGCATGTTGCCATGTGTATTTGGGTTATGTATCCTTAAATGCATGATATGTAATGTCTCTCACGAGTTTTCAAGAGGTTTCCGAGTGGTTTAACCAATAACCGAGCTGTCCCGTTTCTGCTGCAAATTCCAGGTTTTTGTGAGGCCGAGCCTCTGTCATGCCACTAGCCAGGACTGGGATCAGTTGGCCATTACAGGTTCCAAGGCTGTGACGAATGTTTTTCTATGGAAACCTTTTGTGTTGCAGAACTTGGAATTCCTTCGTCCGTAGACCTGGTCTGCAGTGAGCCCGCGCATATGGTTTCATCCTTCAACAGTGGCCAGACTGGGATCTTCAACATGGAGACTCGGCAGCTTGTGCTGAGCCTGGAGGCAGCTACTGATGGCGGTACGTGTGCTAGCAGTCCTTCCAGAAGACCCTTCAAGGGTATTGAGCAGCAGGAAAGGGAACTGAAAATCTCTCATTAAAAAAATCACCAAAGCATCTATGCAGTACAAGCATCTGTTTGATGTAGAAGATCACAGTAATGGTAATTACATGCTGTTATTTTCAAACTTCTGTTGAACAAGAGAGAGCTCTGAACCTGCATTTTTAGGTTTTAATTTTATGTCTCTCCTACCATGATGTCAGAACCCTCTTGAAAGCATTGATGCTTTTCATATCAGAAGGATCCTCACTTTTCTCTTGTCCAAACCCTCTTTATTTCATACAGCTTCAGGCAAATGTGACATCTCTTTACATACATACAGGGAGTGGCAAAGGCAAAGCACAACGTTAAACTGCCACGTGGAAAGGAGGTGTCCTCTCTGCCACATTCTCGTTGTTGTCTTCCTTGAGGACAGAGATGATGAAACCTTTCTTTCGTTGTAGACACTCCTTGTCAGATAAACAAAGTGCTGAGTCACCCTACCCTCCCCATCACCATTACAGCCCAGGAAGACAGACACATCAAGTTCTTTGACAACAACACAGGTACCTGGCCGGCACTTCAGTGGAAGTCTGGGAGTTTTATATTTTTCCCTGCAGTCCCTGGGAGATGAAAAGAACAGATGGACTATGGAATAAATTTCTTAATGGGCACCATTAGTCTGACACAAATGGAAGGGAGCAGCTTTCCTGATAATTAAGTCTAGGATAGAAACTGCTGTTAATTAGGCTTTGGTGTATGAATCAGATTTGAAAGAGCTGCCGAGCCCCAGATATTTCTAAAGTTCAGCATGTTTGATAGGCTACTGGGAGTAATTTCCTGTTGGATATCAAAGGAAATATGGTAACAAAACGTGTAGATTGAGCCAACATAATTGTGCTAATCAGCGATACAAAATGGACATAGACCTCTTAATTAGAAAAAGAGGTAATTTGGAGTGCTGACCCTTAATAGTTTAGCATAACTTGATTATTGGTAATTGATGAATAAATTGCTATAGTCGCTATACTGACATAGGCATAAGCAAACAGTGTGTTGTCCTTTCAGAAGATAAGAATGGCTTAGTTCTTTATACTGTCACTTCTTTCCTTAAGTCTTATTTTTTCTCTTTTTAAAGGAAAACTAATCCATTCAATGGTGGCCCATTTAGATGCAGTTACAAGCTTAGCTGTTGATCCCAATGGACTGTATCTGATGTCTGGCAGTAAGTATATTTAAATGCTACAAGGTTTTAAATTTATTTTGTGTTATTAGAGTTTAAGGGTTTCTTTTTTAGGCACAGCTTGACCATTTCTGAAGCACCGAGACAAAGTAAGTTTAGTGGAATTAATTTTAAAACCCTTTATGGTTATAAGCCTGCCTGTCAAAGTGGAAGTAACTGGTTAAGAATCTGATCACCATCACAGTCTTTAAAAGTCTTAAGATTTATAAAACAATTTTCATCTGGATTATGAATTGTGGGAGGTCTGCATTGTTCTGTTTTATGGATTAGAGTTCCAGGTTTTCTCTTGAAATATTCCATTACAGACCATGTGTGGTTAAGAGAAAGCAGTGTTTACATTTCAGCAACTTCCAGTAGTTGATAGTATCTGTCATCTGGGATGCAGCTCTAGAATTATGGATATTTTCCCACTCCACTACTGAAATTGTCCCTGCATTTCCAGATTTTAACAGCAGAGGACACTGTAGTCCATTATATATATTTATATTTCAATATGCAATTTACATAAATCATGTTTAATTTTTGTCACAAGTCAGCCACATGAGGGTGGTATGAGAGTTAAACCTGAGCATGACAGTTTATCCTCAGTTAACTTGTACAAGTGGAAAATGTTTTTCTACAGGCTATTTGTATCTCTTTAAATTAAATTAGATTATATTTATTTAGAGTACATATGCATGTACATCCATATGGTGTTTGCTCATTAAAAACCAATTGCAATACCTATTTAAGCATTGAAAAGTTGCCAATTCAGAGTAAATTCTGCCCGAGACATTAATTAATTTTAAAATTCAGGCATTATTGGCTTTTCGGAAATGTGTTTTGTCCTTGAATGCACGATGTTTCCTTTACTCCTTTTTCTTTCTCCCTCTCTCCACTCCAGGCCACGACTGCTCAATCCGTCTGTGGAACCTAGAGAGCAAGACCTGTATCCAGGAGTTCACGGCGCATCGTAAGAAGTTTGACGAGTCGATCCATGATGTGGCGTTCCACCCATCCAAGTGTTTCATTGCCAGCGCTGGAGCCGATGCCCTGGCTAAGGTCTTCGTATGACACAGAGCTCCCTTCACCCTCTCCGGCCCGCCACACACTAACCAGCTAGACCACACAACCGGAACCAATGGAGAGGAAGTAGGGGCGGGGCTTAAAGGTGCGATGCCGTCCGCCCAGCCAATCAGCTCCGTCCTTCCCAGCTCCCTGCTGGCTCTGCTGGTGGACTCTCTGAGACTAGCTCTGGTTCGTCCCCAGCTACAGGCGCAAGGGGCCCGGCAGGGTACGTTGCCCATAACGGCAGAGCTGCTTCCTCAGAGCTGCGCTCTACATCCACACATCCAGGCAGGCCTGGGTGGAACCGGGCATGTGTAAATGAGGGAGAAGATAGGAAGAAACGAGCTGATCTCGATTGCAAACGAGGGGGCGAGGCGAGATTTATCCTTCAGGGTTCCTCAAAGCGCAAGGGTGGGAAGGATGACAGGAGGGGGGGGTCAGGCGTCCCCAAGGTGGTTTCGTATTGCGTGCTTCTTTTCATGACTTCAAGCTCTTTTTTCCCCCCTCCCCCATGGTGACGCAGTTCTTTTTTGAAGCAAGTGTTCTGTTGCAAAGACACCTGCGGAAGGCACACGACAGCTGTCAAGGAGATACGATCTCCCATCTACTTCCAAGACAGTTTTGTCTGCCTTTGCTGTTGATCTTGAAGCTTCATGGAAATGTGCCTTTGCTTCAAAACAGAGCCCCAAGTACGGTATATATACATAGTTTTACCTACGTTTTTTTTTCTTGGGGGGGAAGGGGAATTTCAGCGGAGTCTGTTTTTAAAAGATATTGGATGTAAGAATCAAAATAATAAAACAAAAAACATATATCCCATCTTAAACCTCGCAAGACAGTCTGAATTCATTTGTTGTTTTTGTTTTTTGCTTTTCATTGATGGAAGCATATTCATAATCCTAAAAATCCAGCAGGACAGTTCAGTATGAGCCCAGGAACCGATTGCGTTGAGCAAGTCCATTCAAAAGTGTGACAGCAGAGAGTGCCCTGATTGAAGTACTGCAGGATCATCAGGACCAAAATCCAAAGCAAACACTTGTGAAATTCTTGTCTTTATTTCTTATATGGAAGTGTGCTATGGCTATACTTTAGAATACTAAAGCACAATGGATTGGCACTCTCTCCAGGGGTTTCCAGCTGTGCTCCTGGAAGGCTGTTGTGTCTGCAGGTCTATTAAATCCCTGAAACAGCTGGAGACCCTGTCACATTGGTCTAATCCGAGCAGGAAGAAAGCTTGCAGATAAACCAGCTTTCAAGAACCATGATTAGAGACCCCTGAGGGACCCCTGAGGTTCACAACTGACAACCCACTGAAGCTAAGCAGGTGTGAGCCTGGTCAGTACCTGGATGGGAGACCTCCTGGGAAAAACTAAGGTTGCTGCTGGAAGAAGTGTTAGTGGGGCCAGCAGGGGGTGCTCACCCTGCGGTCTATGTGGACGTAAAAAAAAATGAGGTCCTGACTCTCTGTGGTCATTAAAAATCCCAGGGCCCATCTTATTATTATTAATCAAGGGTGAATCCTGCAACTTTGAATTGTACTTCACAGCACAGGGCATTTTTTGTAAGTTTCATATTTTCTTCTTTTTTTAATTGAGTTTCGATCACAAACTCTTTTTCAAAATTCTACTTTTTGATGGAATTGTTTTTTGTAAACCAACACACTTCTTTAAAGCAGTTACATCTGCAGTACATGTATATTGACCCACCCACCCATTTTTCAGCATTTATCCTTAGAAAATGTCCAGAGTCTAATCCTGCAGACACATTATGGCACAAGTGATCCTATATTGTGAGCAGGGCCCCAGTCCATTGCAGGACAGCGGTACATGCTGATTTATATTGTATTAATACAGTACTCGCTTTCATGCGTGCAGTGTAAAATATTGTGATATTTTCAATGTGCTTTCCACTTTTGAATGCTGCATGCGATATCTGGTGTGAGATTCCTTGACAGAAATACGCAATCAGATCTGCCTTATTAGGCAAAGTCAAAAATACTGTCCTCTGGATTTTGTTGGTTTTATGCAAATATTCAAGAGTCATAGTAGAATAAAGTGTTAAAAACAGTTAGGTGGTAACTGGTGTTCACACAACAAAATGTAAATTCCAAAGCTATCTGTGAGTCTTATACTGTAAGTATGATCCATCAGGAAAAATCACTCTGGTATCTTGAAACAAGTGAAAAACGTGACAGATTTTAGTTAAAATGCTGTATTTGAATGACTACAGTTACAGTTAAATCTGATGTTTTGTATTTAGCAGTTTTTGTATGCGGTCTTAAGTGTAGGAGCAATTAAACCCAGCACCTTTTAAGGATAACGGTAATATTGATAGGAAACCAAAGGGTTGGTGATGGGCTTATTTCTTGGGGGCATTAAATCTTTTAAGGACAGAACTCTTTATGCTTTTCTAAAGAGAAATATATAATGTGAAGTCAAAGGAATTGCAGTTATGCAAATGGAACAAATCATTTTGGTTATTGTTTTACTTTCATAATGTTTCAAACCGTGAAATTGTCTCACAAATTTAAAGCATCTAGCTTGCATATGCTTTGGTTATGCAATGTACTGCTTGTTCACAGAGACCCTTGCGAAACAGAACTCCTTTCTTCCTTGTCCACAGACAAGCTGCAAGCATGAATAACTTTGCAGTGATGAAAGTTTTTCTTTTTTATGTTCTTCAGTTGTAGTGTAGTTTGCTTTTAATTCTGTTAAACCAAAACTATTTAGAATGAAATACAGAAGCAGCTATACGGTACAGTCTGAATGTCAAAGAGATTGTGCCACAGGTGTAGAAACTATGTAGATAATGGTGCCTGAGAAACAAGGGAATAATTCTGAGGATAGCAACTGCAGTCCACACAGTACATGCAGAAATATAAAAAACTGTAAGAGCAAAACAGATACTTGCACACAGATTTGCACTCCTTCATTGGAGCTGTGTATATTTAGTTATATATTTAAGCATTTAAATATACACACTGACATTTTGTTTGCAATAATTGGGGGTATACAGCTATATAAGTATGTATTTTTCTGAATTTTAGATGTTGGATCTAGTCTTAATATGTGGGACCGAAGGCCTATTAACATCTGTATGTTGAATGTCGGAATCTTTGCAACGCGGCAATGTTTACTTTGTTATAGAAATATATACAATATTCTCTTTACTGTCCCTGCGCATCCTTCAGCTGAGAAACATAAGCTGTAATGTAAGGTCAACACCTTCAATGGGTTAGCATCAAGAAAGGACAAAGAAAGGTGTGGATGTGAAATGAAAGGTTGTTCTATTTAATTCACCTTTAGTACAGATGGAATTGTTTTTATATTATTTTCTGCGATTACTTGAAAAAACAAAAGGTGATTCTTTGAGGTGCTTGCTGTAAGGCTGAAGGGTTTTGTTTATTTATGATGGCAATACGCCTCTAAAAGGAAAAAAATAACCCAGAAGCTGCTCTCGGGCCATTCAGTTTGTGGAGCTTGCTGCCAGCCTAGAGTGACGGAGACTTTGCTGTTGACCTTTCTGCAGTTGTACCTAACAGTAACTGGTAGCTCTTTGACGTCTTCGGTCTTCTTCTTTTTAATTATTTCCAGAAAAGCTGGGAAATCGGGGGTCTTCTCTGTTTGCATTTTCAACAAGAAATCAGAGGTTGTGTGGTGCAACAAGTATAAAAGATTTTTGTAAAAAAAATGGAAAATTGCAAAAATGTATAGTTTTAAAGTATTAAATATATACAGTATATATGAAACACATTAAAGTGATGTGAAATGGAAGTTCAGTATGCTTTTTGTGGTACTACTCATGTATTGTATCTTGTTCAATAACATATTACCAGTGCAGGTAGAGCAGGGAGCCCAGTGCTGGTTAAAGACAGAAGACTGAACGACAGCGCGATGGCCTACAAACAGTGCTCACTGGAAAAGTCCAAAGTCAGGCCCTGGATTGGTTTCACGAACAAAGCGATGTGGCAACGAGTTTCAAAAGAGAAGAAAAAACAAAGCTTAGGAATAACATCGTACACCTTTGAGTGAAATCTGCCCATCTGGGTAGAACTACGCAGCTCTGCACATTGGACTTAATTTGAATTAAATTTAATTTGAAGCACAAACCGTTGTATCCTAATCACTGTGTATGAGATGTACTGGCAGAGCCCTTCTCTCGAATAGAACCCTTTCAGCCCAGGCTAGGTACAGTAGTTTGCTTTTTGTGTTCCCTTCAGTGGTTTTAGGAATAAAACTTTAAGAAACCTGTTATTTTCTTATAACTGAGATTCCATAGGGGTGAGTGTCTTCTAGCTTTTAAAGGGATAGCAGGCATAGCAAAAAACTGTTATTAAGATTGTACTTTCTGTGATGTATTCATGCAGTTTTCAGTTCTCAAGATGCTGAATTTTTAAGAATTCTGCACTAACAATTTAATACTTGTTTGCTGGCAGTTAGTGAAATTCAAGGGTGTCAGCTCATTTAGATGAGAGCATCATTTTAGATGATGGCCTCGCCTGCCCCATAGCAAATTCCTAATTCAGTGTTAAAGAAAGCCAGAGAGATCAAAAGAAACTATACGATTTTCAATCCCGCCCTTACACAAGAGAAAGCAGGTCATTCCAGCAGATCCAGTCTGCGGGTCAGTTTTTGTTGTGTTGTTCAGTTTCCTTCAGTGTTTCATTGGACTTGGGGCATGTTGACCTTCTCTTTTGGAAGAAACATCTTTCCTTTCAAGGGTGTGTTTTGTACCAAATTATAAAGGAAGGTCACCCTTCTGTGTGCAGAATTTAGGGCTTGGGGGGGTTACGGGTGAATGGATGTTACATCTTGAGTAGCACACAAAAGGCATGAAGGGTGCAATTCACACAGAAATTAATTTGCAACTCATCTCATTGTCTAAACCCAGCTTTTGCAGACAACACAACAGCAGAAATCTCTCTCATTCTGTTCTCATTTAACCCCTGAAAACACATCCTGCCCAAGCTAAGGTTCCTGGAGAATCACAGAGAAGCAAAAGTGGGACTAAAAATTTGGAAACTGATTAATGCCAATAACATCAATATTTTTTTCCATTAATTCATTAAGAGTTTGGCTACAATGAAAGCTGGAGGAACGCTTGAAGAAATCTCCATGTTGCACGTGGGTCTTCAGGACTTGGACTGCGGGTCACTGGTGTAGAACTGTAGAAACAGGCTGTGATGAATAACTCATCCATAGTCTTCTAGTTTATATCTGCCCGTTTCTGTCTAAGCCCTACGTGCCCAACATTCTCTTTTCGTTTTGGATATTGTCTGATGTTCCACCCTATTATATGCAAAATATTCTGAAAGGCAGACAGTTCTAGAAGTATCAAAATGGTAACATTCCTCTAAAATTGTAAGACGTAATGGTGATTTATTATCTATGACACCAATCACTTTATAAACATGCCATTTCATGTAGAAAAAAGAAGCCTTTACCTATTTTTAGCTCTTGATTATTTCAAAGTTGTTTAGTTAGTTAAGTTACAAAGCAATTACAAAAAAAACATTACATTTTTTTCTTGACTTTTCCTAATTAAATCACAACTAATGACTAATTATCCTTTCTGAACACCAGTGGCACTTCCTCGCTCACTGACACAGTGGGTTTTCATTGTGATGCTGATGTCCTGCCTTTTTTTCTTTTCAATGAAGATAATTCCACTTCGAGAGCAGATTGTCAAAAGCAACATGAATTTGAGGTCTCAAGGGTGTCAATGTCCTCATGTCCTCCCTACAGCAAATAGTTTTTGGCAGAGAATGAGAGAATTGTGAGACACATATTATGGCCTCGCTGTCTTTCACCTGTTCTGTTTTTTTCTTCGTAAGGGTGTGAAGAAACCAGCCAGTACCTCATGGACTAAACAAAAAGTAAACAGAGAGGACTATTAAAAAGTTGTTTTTTTTTTCCATTTACCAGATTGTGCGTTAGAAAATTTGTACCAAATATTTTATGATGGCCTACTGTGAAGCTGTCGGTTGACGTGCACTTTCCGAACTGGGGCCCTTTCTTCTCCCTGTGCAGCTGCTGATCCAGTAGCACGACAGAGGGAAACAGAGGTCAGCCAGTTGAAAGAAGGGCCTTTCGAAAGGAATTATGGGTGATGTAAGAATTCTTCCCAAATCCAGGCCTGATTACATTATGTTCCAGGCTTGTCCTGAGCAAATGTCTGAAATTACTCTAGGTTGCATCCAAAAAAACAAAACGAGTTCTGACATATGCCAAGTCTGCCTGTAAACTAGCGTCATTGCTCTTTTAAGTACAATTGTATAGAGAGTTCTTAAATATCATGTGTATTTGATAAATATGCTAATTTTCTTGTACAGATCTTATTATAGTTTACTCTTTTTTTCCATGATGTATTCTCTTTTTTTTTCCCCATAAGGGGAGCGAGAGATTTAACAATAACAATAATAAAAAATGTTGTATTTCACAGAAGTGTGCGTTTTATTTGTATGCATTTTGTTTTCAGATCTGACTTTTCTTTCAGTGGCGGTTGCCTGTTTCTTTTTTTGAAAAGCTGGCAGTCACATATACTCTGCAAATGTGCTTTGGGAAAACAGCTGGCCTGTTGCAAACCTAGAGGCCATTCAGCTCATCAAGCACATTAGATAGTTTAGTACCTAAAATTTCAACCAGACAGTTCCAGCCAGTCCAGTTTGGTCCTTAACAATGTAGCTGGATAAGGTTCAAGAAACGCAGCTCTTATATATGTATATTTATATTATAAAATGAAATGCTGAAATGTTGCTTACTATTCAGAAAAGCAATTGTTTAGCTGTGAGGTAACACGCTCAATGTACAAATTCTATATGTTTTCTTAATGGATTTATTTCTAAAGTTAACTCTTCTTATGTACTCATTAAAACACAAGGAGATGACTAGTTTTTAAGGTATTTTATGAAAAATTGCAATAGAACAATGATCAAATATACTGTGCATTACAAAACACAAAGCAAAAGTAGTTTATATTTTTAAATATGTACAAACAGAAAGGAAGCCGTCATATAAATAAGTCTTAGCTACAAAAGTGAAAGGTTACAGAGCTGTAATGCGCTCGTACAAATGCATTGTATACAATTTTCAAAAAATGATACTCGGGTGGAGAAGAAAAAACATTCTGCAGAGAAAAAGGCACTGGGGGCAAGTCGAGTTGTTCTTCTATACAAAACATCACCCACCAGACTGCAGCACATACAGCAGGGACCACCTTAACTACCATAAAGACACATCCTCCCACTCTTCCCTAAACCTTCTGATCGAGGGGTCTCTAACCCAGTTGTTGGGAGACCCAGTATCTCCTGATATTTTGTTCTACCCAAACTCTTGTTTGCATCCTCCAGGGGTTCCCAGTCCTCGTCCTGGAAGATCACACAGCCGCTGGTGTTTGGTTCCAGCCAAGCCCTCAGTAGCACAACTGACCCCTTAATTGACCTAATAGGATTCATTTACTAAGAACTGTTTGACATGATCATAGCTTTTGAGGTTACTTTTAAGCTATTTGATATGTAAATGAAAGCTTTGCAAATATTTCAATCAAATCACTTGGTAGTTCAATAAAGGCTTACCATAAGGTAATTAAGTTCAGATGGAATGAAAGCCAGCAGACATGCTGGTCTCCACCACCAGGATAGGAACCTCCAATACACCAGATGGAATTAACTGTGAAATGTATAGTTTTTCTTACCAGCTGTAACTGAGTTGTAATAAAGTAGGTAACACTGAGTGACTATACTGTGTTAGATAACAGGTATAGGTTTTCTAGGTAACTTTACCTTTTATGAAGCAAATATTTTGAGAAAATTCTTATACAATATATGCCTAACAGTAACTAACTCTGTAGTTTTATTGATAACAGGTTAGAACAAAAACCAAAAGACACTAGTCCTGCTGGCATTAGAGTTTGAGACCACTCTTCTAATCCTTGTGTGTGTGTGTAGTACAAAACACTGAGAATGACCCCCACCATGGTCTAATATTTTGTGTCTGCCTTAGCTGATGTTGTGCATTTTGGAATATTTCGAACAGACCCCAAGCGCAGCATTCAGGGATGCATTAGAATTTGGCTCTGGATCTCCAGCTCCTACATGGAAGGTAAGGGCATTCTTTGGTCTAACTGTAAAAAAAAAAAGTAATTAATTTGTAACTGTATCATGCTTTAAAGCCGAGTGCTTACTGCTGTAAAAACAGGAAAAGCACCTCCTGGTCCTAACCCTGTCTTAGATGGCTGCTGATCAAATCAAGCCTTTCGAGAGCTGGGGCACCTACAGCAATTATTCTGTCGAGACAGAATTTAGCTGTATTCTACTTTGTATGCACACAAGTCTTGGCAATCAGAAGAAGAGTGATTCTTAAATTGTAATTAATTATTTCTATGTTGCAACAAAACTACTGTAAAACCCTCTTCATTTAGAAGGTGTTTTTAGTCTCCATATTAAGGAAATGTAAATGCTTGTAGTTGTAGCCTTAACCAAAAGCTTTAATATGAGGAGCTGCTTTTTACGGTATCCCCTACATTTTTTGCATAGCATGTTATTTGACTGAATAGGAAGTTGAATTAAATTAGTTGGCGTTCCCTACAAAAATAATTCCGTTACTGCGAGTGCATTTCCAAATGTCACAGCAAAATAAAAAATCTGTTTTCAGATGAATGTAGTCACTTTTTATATAATTATCAATTTATTATTTATTTGACTAGATTTGTTAAAAACCCACCCCTCTAAAACCCTACTCACAGCAGTATAAGATTGCTGTTGGAAGCAAATAAGACTCTTGACCGATGGTATCCACTTTCTTTCACTATGTGACATGATTAATCACAGAAGTGGTGTTTGGTCCTGCTGGTTTTTGAGCCATCACATGCGACCATCACATTAGTGCTTAAAACTTTCTATTATTAATTATTGCACAGCTATTCAGAACATTTCTTGGACTCTAGCTCTGTCTATTTGACCCAATTTGTCAACCAATCTTTGTTCCCACCAAGTTTTTTTTTTTTACAAGCAGAGCTCTGTTGATTTCTGCTGAGAGCACACTTCAGATCCACAGTCATCTTTGTACTGTTTCCTTTAGGAAAGCCCTAGGTATGTCCTCCACCCACAGGCGAGGCCGGAGGCAAACCGTGGCACTATAAGATCAATGAGAAAGCTCTTCAGTCGCAAAGCCACCGATACAGAAAGGAGGGCACATAAGCATGACAAGCTCCTACACAACAGGCGGGTGCTATCTTTAGATGTATTTCTTGGAATATAACAAAAATAAATCTGCTCCCCCCCTCCCCAATCC